TGCTGCTGCGGCTTATTGCTATTGCTGCTGCAACTCCTATAGCTACTGCCACCACTACTACTACTACTACTACTACTACTACTCCTACTGCTGCTGCTACTGCTACTGCTTCTACTGCTGCTACTACTACTACTACTACTACTAATATTATTACCAGACCAGGACGACGCTACTACTGCCACATGGCTTCGTTGGAGTCTGACCGCGAACGAAGCAGCTCGCCACCCGAGTTCTCTAAAGACAGAGCGACGTGAAGCGATCTGTCTTGGATCTTCCGGATCTCCCGATTTGGAGGCCGCAACAGGGAGCGGTACTGTTGAGGATCGAAATCCTGCATTACCCATAATAAGGAATATACCATAATTCCCATAGAATAGGGTCCTTAAGGTAATGCAGGATTTTTATCATCAACCGTAGGATCCTTGGGGTTGCCATCTTAGGGAGCAGATGGGAAGCCACGCTTGGAGCCACAGCCGCATAGGGTTTAGGGTTTAGCCACATTGGGTTTTCGGGGAGCTTTCATAGAGGTAGCTGTGGGTTTAAATTTTAACCTGGACCCTACACCACCGTGCCAATTGAACGGTTCCCAACCCAAACCACCTAATCCAAGAAAGAAAGGCAGACAGGGACACCTCCACTGCAAGTAGCCCTCAAAAGACTCCGACAAATGCTCCAGGTATGCGAGTGTTCTCTAGTCTGGCGTTGCTAAGCTAGAATTACATAACTAAACACTAAACCCTAAACCCTGTCCCGGATCCAAGCACCTTGCACCTCTTAGGTCTTAGGATGTAGGGTTTAGGAGGTCCTCTGCACTCTTGAAACTCTTCTCTGGAGCATCCGGCTGGAAACGTAAGTTAATCACGATGGTTTAGGGTTTAGGGCTTAGGGTTTAGGGCCTATAGGGTTTATAGGAGAGTTGGGGGGTAAACAAGGTGACCCCCTCCCAGAAGGATCGCATAAGTTGAGGGTTGGTTCGTGCTTTGGCTCTCGAGTTGCCTCGATGCAAAACCCTAAACCCCTGAAGCCCCTAAAGCCCCCCCTAAAAAAAGCCAACCGGAGCCTCGACTTCCACATCATCCACGTCAATAAAAGTGAAGCGGTAGATGAAGGTGAGGGCTTTGCTCATGGCGGCAAGGATGAGGCGAGCTCTTGCTCAAGGGTTGAAATCAAATCAGACTGCGGGCCAGCACACATGTAAGCCTAACCGGTTTAGGGTCTATAGCCCTAAGACTCCAAATAGCCCAAAGTAGGTACTATTTATAGACTTTAGACCGCAAAGTGGGTACTATTTGTATACTTGGAGTCTTAGGGTAGGGCTTAGGGAAATCTTGGGGCCGTAGTCGTTAGAGGAGGGTCCAGGGATCTAGTATCATCTATCTTTATGGGAGGTGTAAAGATGAAATCCACGCCTAAATCCCAAGATCACGGAAACGCCTAAGCCCGAAGCCCTCAACCCTAAACCCTAAACCCAACCCTAAACCCTTAGAAGGGGATTGTCGGCTTGAAGGCTTCCAGGTTGATAGGGTGTAAGCTGGTCTTAGGGCCAGGAGCTTCTAGGTTTAGTGCTTAGGGTTTAGGGTTCATAGTCGATGTCGTGGGGGGGTTGTAGGTTCAGGATTTGGTGGTTATCAGATTTAGGATTCGAGAGGGATTTCAGGGCTTGCAGAGTCCGGTTTATATAGGGGTCGAGGACTTAGCGTTTGAAGGGTTTATGAAGTTCCCTACCCCACTAGGGTTCAAAGTATTGAGTTTAGCACCGAAAGACCGTGCTACTCGTGGTTTCGGGGGAGCTAATTTCACGGTAGTCCCTGAGCCCGAAACCCTATATAAGCACTAAACCCTAACCCCTAAACCCCGAACCCTAAGCCCTAAACCCTATAAAGGTATAGTATGGACCCTCTTGGTACCTACAGCTCCATCTCCAGCGACCGGGCTTCCCCCCGAAGAGCCAGGTCTATCCCGGAGGGTCCAAGTACTTTATAGTCATGTACTCTCCAAAAAAGCAGCCATAGGGTTTAGGATTTAGGGTACTCCCCAAAAAAGCACCCACAGGCTCCATAGTAGTTCCTTTTTGGGATTACCCTATAGGAGCCCACATATAAACCACAAAAAGGAACTACTTTGGAGCCTATGGGTAACCTACACAATTACAGTACTATCCTACAACCAAGTACCACATTTATTGGGTCCGATGGACCCTTAGCCAGGTTCCCCAGTAAGACCTTAATAGTAAGGGTGCTTTTTTTGTAATATTCGGTTTTCTTGAAGAACCCAAGTCGGTTCTACCTACAGCAAGCGAGGTCCGTAGGGTCGCAAAAGAAGAGGGGCTTCTTTTCTGGCCCCAGGCGTTGCCAATGCTCATGACTCGCGAGAGCCCTTCCCTTGAGGAGAAGCATTGCGGTCATCCGTAAGCTTGCGCCGTACAGCATAACAGGAAAAACTCATGTTTGTGGAGCGAACATCACACAGGGGGCGGTTATTTCGCCGTATGTGGTGTTGCAGAAAAGAAGAGTTGGCATCGGCTTCGGTGGCCTGCCAAACTGTAGGGTCGTAGGGGTTCACGACGAGCCGGTCTCTCCGAGAACTTGAAATGTGTGACCATTGCCTGGGGTGGTAGTAGACGAAGCGGCCGTGGGGTCTCGGTCAGGCACATGTTGAAGTCGGAAGTGAGGATTGTAGCGAAGGTGTTCAGGAACCGGGATCCAGCTGTCCGTGCAGTAGGAGCATGGGGTCCTCACCTGGATGCGGTTCTCGGTTCGGCTCCGGGCGCACGTGTCACTTGTGTGCCACACCCGTCCATGTGGCGTGACGTAGATGTCCCCGACATGGTGGTGGCTGAGCCGATTGCTCGTGTGGTAGTCGAGGAGGTGTTGCTGCTGCTGTACCGCTGCAGCAAGCCTTCTGTTCTGATCACGAACCGTCGCAAGCTCCAGCAGCACAGTCTCCAAGGAGGAGTGCCGACTCCCCCGCGCAAGGCTGTCCGTCTGACTGCCGCGGTTGATGAAGGTTCTCATCTCCGGGAAGGGCTGCACAAGGTAGGTCGCGTCGGTCTGGGCGTAGCTCTGGACGTGGATGTTCTCCGTCTGAGTGGTGGCCTCTGCTGGGCAGGGGGCGGTTCTTTGGAACCGCAGCAGCTTCCATCTCGTCCAGGGGTGCCAGTAGATCAGCACCATCGCCACCAGTAGGATCACGAACAGGTAGGTGCCCGCCTCGTGGTAGGTGATCTCGTCTGGGAGGCGGTAGACGGTGAGGGCCTCCAGGTCCTCAAGCTTGTAGGCCTCGGAGATGGTCGTCAGGTAGGCGGTGGCGGCAATTGCCGACGCTGCAGCCTTTGGCCGCGCGAACTGGTTTGCGCTCCTCGCTCGTTCACCTGCGTCCTTCTTTCGGTAAGTCTCGTCCGCCGTGATCTTGTGCTGGTGGGTTCGTAGACGATCCGCCAGGAGCTGTGTCGCGGAGTCCTTGGTGAGTCCGTCGGCGTACTGGCGCTCGGATGACACCCATCGCACGGTCCCGCCGATCTCCTTCATCTTGTCCCGGGTAACCAGGGCCTCCAGGCATGTCCGCTTGTCAGCGGTGCTGGACACGTAGAGTTCCTCGCGGTGGAGGATGTCGTAGAGACATTTGGCGTCGATCACGAGGAGGCTCTCGTTCTTCCACCGGAAACAGCTATCGTCGCTGTTGATCCTGTAGTTTGGATCGAGCAGGGCCTTCCAGAACGTGATCACGAAGTGGAGGCAGTCGGCTGCCTCAGCGGCTGCTTGTCCTTCTGCTGCCAGGGTGGACCGGGCAACCCGGGGGAGTCGAAACGATCTCCAGTCCAGGAGGTGGTAGCTGCTGATCCCTCCATCCAGGATTGCCTTGTTGGTAAGGCACACCATGTATCCTCCTTGGCTCGACATGTCGGCGCGGCTCGCAAAAGCTGCGTCCGAGTAGGCCAGGAAAACGATGTCCTCCAGGTTGTCCACGAGGGGCGGGTAGAGAAGCTTCACATCGGAGTTCGCCTTGGCGAAGCGCAACGCCTTGTTGGCCGCGAGGATGGTGGCCACGGTAGCCTTCGGCACCTCACCAGCTAGCATCGAGGTGTGCACCTGTAGGTGAGGGGAGGTCTGCGTAGCCGCCCATTGAAGCGCACCCACCAAAGCTCTAAGCTGCGTCTTCTCCTTGTCCGTGGCGGGGCTGTCGGGATCAGCCTGGCGGCTCTTTTCCAGGGGGATTGGCTTCACCTTGTTGATGTACTCCTCGTGTCCACACGCCAGGCCGCCATCTGGTTGTCTTGTCACCTGGGTGCCCAGGAAGTCGAAGCTCGGCTGGTCTTCTCTGAAGTCTCTGAATGCAAAGAGGCTTTGTAGATCCTCCCTTGTTTTCGAAGCCCACGAGGGCTCCACCACTCCGAGCAAGTCGTCCACGTGCAGGCCGATCGCGCATCGGAGTTCGGTGTCAAACAAAAGATAGAGGCATTCGTCAAGTGGATGTTTGGTGAATCCGAGGGACAGCAACCTTCTGGAGGCTTCTTCGTACCACGCTCGAGGTGCGTCGGAGAGGCCATACATAGGCTTACGGAGTCTCATCAAGACCCGCGGGTCTGTGATGCCGAGCAGGGCTCGGGCATCCGCAGGAAGGCGAATCCACAATGTCCGGGAGGCAGGGTGTTCTTCACCTTGTAAGAAGGCGGTGGTGATGTCGGCGATGAAGGTGCTCCAGGATCGTAGGGAGGCCAGCGACATAAGGGTGGTTCTTCCCAAACGAGACAACGTAGGGCTCGTAGAGTCCAGGAGGCCGGCCAGCGCATCAGGGTCTCGAAAACCCTGGGTGATCAGCCTGGCCTTGGCCCGTGGGCTTCCATCTGGGTGCTTGGACCACTTCAAGATGAAATGGGCCTTCAGAACTCGATTGGCGGGAGCCTCCTGTTCCGTCGCAAACTCCCACACCTGGTTCGTGAAAAACGATTCCAGTTCTTTCTTTTTCGCCTGCACGAAAGCCACCCTGTCTGCCAAAGACATGGCTCTTTCGCTCAAGTTGCTCCTGGCATCTTTCTGCCTCTTTTCCTTGGTGCCAGCATAAGTGGTGGCACCCTTAGAGGCGACGTAGAAAGCTTGTTGTGCATCTCGTCGGTGACGGACCAGGATCTTGAATGAGGTCTGTCCCGTCCAGTAGTGGCCGTCGTTCTTGTGAGGGCTGTTTCTCCATCGGTCTTGGTGGCAGTGCCTCCCTTTTCGGGTCGCGCGGTCCTTGGCCAGCATCTCCTCGGGGATGGGGCAGTCGCCGGTCTCCCGTGGATTGAACGCACAATCTCTGGCCACGTAGTGGTTCCGAATCAGGGTGTTGCCCTTCAGCTCCCAGGTGTCGTGGACGGGCTCCAGGACCAGGTAGCCATGTTCATCCGCATACCATCCCGATGGTAGACCGATCGACTCAGAGCCATCATCGCTCTCCGGCTCAAGAACGTCAACGAGGAAGCCATGTTCGGTAGTAGGCCCGTATGGCTGTGGTCGTTGAGGAGTGGTTGGTCCACGGGGCCCGTAGCTGATGGTCTCGCTCCGATCGATGCGGGATCTCCTCTGCTCAAAGGTCTCAGGGGTGGTCGGCGTGCGGAAGGTCGGGTGGATAACGTGGCTGATGGTCTCGCTTCTGTCGATGCGGGCTCGCTTCTGCTCGAAGGTCTCCGGGCCGTCGGGGCTGAAGGTGTGGTGCCTGTCGTCGTTGGGGGTGTTTCCGGACGAAGTCTCACCGCCTGTAGCCGTCCCCGGTCTATCTGCTGTGGTAGGCGCGGTTGTAGTAGCTTCCGCAGAGTCCGGATCCGGGTTCACCGAGGGGTCGTCATCTGTCTGCTCGCTGTCCGACCCTTCTTCATGTGGGATTGGTGTCGTAGCTGCCTCTGTCGGAGTGACACCTGCTGGCGGGCCGCCAGCATATCCTGGGGGGGCCGGAGAGGTTGAGGCGGTGGCGGCCCACGAGGCCGCGAAGCAGGGCTCGGTGTGTCCGGGAAGTTGTTGTCGCTGTTGAGGATGTCGGTCGAGTTGGGCAGACTGGGCCACGACGGGGAATCTGCAGGAGCGGCCGGGGCGCCTTGTGGTAGTCGAGGAAGTGGGCCCTTAGGCGGCGGGGAGTCACCGTCATCATCGTCCATGGCCTCGTCGTCGGAGTGTGCCAAGTCCTCGCGGCGGCGTTTCTTGTTGGTCTTGAGGAGGTCGAGGTACACTGTTGTGCCACGGTTCTGAATGTGCCGCACCATCGTATGTAGAACCGGGGGGTCCGCGGCCAGCGTGTCTGACTCCAGGTCGGGTCGGACGTGCTCAGGGGCAGCTCGGATAAGAGCGGACCCATGCACCAGCCAGTAGACGGTGGGCGGATGGTCGGGCCCCCTCTGACTTTCCACCAACACCACAGTGGCCGGACCTTTCCAGCGTATGCGTGGTCCCGTGCCTGCTGCCTCTCGCCAATAGAAGCACTTTTGGCCCACCAGCATCCGTGGCGGGTCGCCGCGGTGCTGTCGAAGTAGAGCTCGGCGTAGACGGAGGTCGTTGTCGGCCTTGACCACCGCGGTGGCGGCCCGGACTCGGCACTGCATCTTGTGTTGGAAGGCTTCCGTGGGGTCCAGGTGGCTGTAGTTCACATTGGAATCCAAGAGACTCCCGGGAATGTTGGGTTGGTACCCCAACACCCACTGCGTAGGACTGAAACCTCCAACAGAGAGGCTCTGGTTGAGCTGGGGGATGATGAAACACAACGCCTCCACAAGGCTCTCGGGTCCGGTCGGCGGACTATCCTCCAAGTATAGTTCCACGGATCGTCGCAGTACTTGGTGGCGTCGTTCCAGTTGGGCAAGGCGTTCGTGGGCCTCGCCAGGGGAGATCACCAGCTCCATTCCATGCTCGGAGGCATACTGCATCACCTCATCACTTCCCCAAGCTCGGTGGCTGTCCACAAACAAGGTCCGTGGAGGGCCGAAGACGCGGATCCAGCCTCGCTCAAGGGCTTGTAGAAACTCGGCAGAAGTCTCTCTTCGAATCACCCGGGCGGCAACATACCGGGTTGCCGCGTCCATCATAGTGATCACCGGGATAGTCTTGTCCAGGACCTGTAGCCACACCGTGTCGGACAACAATCTCTCATTGAAGCGGAAGGTAGTGCGCAGGGTAGTCTTGGGCACCTGGACTGGTGGCGCCAACTTCCGACACGAGGGGCACTGGTAGTTCTCCGCGGTCTCTACTACCAGCCTGTTGGCTCCACTTTGTGCCAGGATGACTCGTAGGTCTCGATTGTTGGGGTGACCAAGGTTCCTGTGTAGACGAGCAACGATCCTCTGAGCCTCTGCTGGCGTCCTACACTCAAGTCTCTGAAGACATCCCGTCAGCCTGGTAGATGTAGGCACCGCTGGTGGTGGATCAAGTTGTGCACCGGGATGTGTGGGAGTAGACTCTGATTGTGGTGGATCTGGTTGTGCACGGGGATGTGTGGGAGTAGACTGTGATTGTCGTGGATCTGGTTTTGCACTTGCTTGACTCCTGCCAAAGTTGTGCTCGGCTTCCATGTCGGCAGTTGAGGGAAGGTCGAGGTCGGCAAGGTCTCCCGTGGTCTGGCGCGGGTACAGATCATCATCGTCTGGTGGTCCTTCGGAGGGCTCGTACTCTTCCATGTCAATGTCCGAGGCAGGGAGCGCTTCCTCTGCTGTAGAGTTGCCGTAAATGAAGTGGGCGTAGTAGGCTCCTTGTAGGGCTTCTGCCAAGAAGCCACACATCTTGGGCTGGTTGGTATACTCCAGCCGCTCTCGCCCGTGAGCCGATCATCGAGGCTGATCCCATGAGGGCCTGGTGCCGGTGGGTGCCATCGCACCGATAGACGCCCAAGGTCTCCGTCAACAGCTGGTGGTTCACTACCAGCTTTGTTGTCTTCTTGATCGGGAGCATGTTTCCTTGGGGGTCCGGCAGGGCTGCTCCCAGGGCACATTGGTCGATGATGATCTCCAGGCCAAGGTCATGTAGTGCTGGTGTGCTCCAGGCCTTGGAGTTCTGCGGGTGCTCGATGACCGCAATGCCCAGCTGGGCCATCCGCAGGAAGACCCTTCTCACAAAGAGGAGGTGGGTATGGTGTTCAAAGTCACGGGTCGCCTGAAGCACGTCGAGGTCCTCCTGGGTCCGCTTGGAGAGGTTCTGCAGCGGTGACCACTTGGTGCATGGAGGGGCCAGCCACACAATGTGTGGCATCTCCTTCTCCAGAAGCTCGAAGAAGGCGCGCCGGTGGCTAGCTACCTCAAAGTTCCACTCGGGCAGGTCGAAGGTTCGGGTTTGAAAGCCATACTGCCGCATAGCCGCAGACAGGTTCCCAGAGCCACTGTAGACCTCCCAGAACATGGCGCAGCTTTCGTCTGAGGCGCGATATGCGCTCTCAAGTTGCCTGTCCAGGCTGTTCTTGGAGCGGTTGATCCCAAAGATGATGCTTTTCCAGAGCGTGGGGGGCACCTGGCATTCGACGGCAGGAGCCAAATTGGCATTCTCCCGGATGTCTTGGGCCTGGTCGTCGAGGAGGTTGATCGCGGGCTCGTCCTCCTCGAGCATGATTTCATCCATCGTGAAGACGGGTCCCGCGCGGCCAGTTTGCTTCAGGTAGTCCCCCAGGCTGTGCAACACACCGTCTGCTAGGAAATCCTCCACGCAGTCGTCGGTGACATAGTCAAAGTCGTACTCTGCTTGGAGTGTGTCCTCGCTGAGACCGTCATCGAGGGCCAGGAGGTGTTCGCCCTTTGGACCTTTTAGGACGGAGGTCCAGCCCTCTCCCAGCACGGACACCATGTCGGTGTCGTAGTTCACCTTGACCTTCAGGGCCTTGAGGAGGGGGCGGCCGATAAGGATGGGCATGGTCCCTTCCACTAAGAAGCACTGAATGCGGCCTTTTGTCCCTCCTATCCAAACGGGTAGGTGGACACTCCAGTCGGCAAGGCTTCGGTGGTCTCCTCCGAAGAGGAAACTCTTGTTCGTCTGCGTGAACGCCAAGGTCTCCGGGCCCAGGCCTTTAGAGACGAACTCGGTGATGACTTCCATGACAAAGTCGTGACCACCGACCATGGAGGACGCACCTCCATCCTGAAGACCAACACACCTGCCGAAGTGTCGAGGAGCAAGGGCGGAACCAGAGCCCATGGCCATCATGGCAGTCCCCTGCTTCGGCCTCTTGTTCGGGGAGCCAGGGGCGGATCCGGTCTGCGGCGCCGGAGGCTTCGGGCACTGGGAGGCCCAGTGTCCAACTTGTCCGCACCGTAGGCATCGTGTAGAATCTGCTCGGGCTGCTCCCTTCGATGGGGGTGGTGGTCCACGTGTTCCTCCGGTTTTGCCCTTGTGGTTGCCCTTCGGCTTGCCTTTTCCTTTTGGAGTCTTGCCCTTGGCGGGGGTGGTCGTCATCGGCATCTGAGTTCCGGCCGGGTCGACCATCGCCACAACCGGATAGTAGCCTCGTCCCGCCTTCACTTCAGCAAACCTACGCCTGGCATCCAGGTAGGCGGCGTAGGCCTCTTCCACCATTTCGTCGCCTTCGTCCTCATCTGCCAGGAACGTGCTGTCGTAGGGCTCTGCCTCGATGGGGTCGTGGTCCTCTTCCTCGTAGAGTTCGGACTCTTCCTCGTAGTACTGGGCCTCGGGGTACTCGTCCGGGGCGTCCGGCTCGTAGTAGTCATAGCCGGGGTCCTCTTCCTCGGCGGTGTACGCCGAGGAGTAGTGGCGGTGGTTGCCCCACCGATAGGTGGGGTGTCCTCGCCCTTTTCCGGTGGGCCGTGGCTCGGTCCTGCTCGTCCGGTAGTCCTGGCCGAACAGGTAGAACAAGGCTTGCTCCACTGTATTCACGCTGAGCTTCTTGTTGTCGACCTGACTCATCACAAGTTGCCTCTGCTCAGCCGTGAGGGCTGCTCTCCTCAATAGCAGCCATCCTCCAACGGGGTCCGGCAGCTTCACATCGTGGCGCTCCAGCTCCCGAGCTGCTTCTCTGTGTTCGGAGCAGTATTGGATGAGGGTCTGGCCGTAGGGGCGGCTGACGCCATAGAAGAAACGCTCAAAAGCCTTCGGCATCTCAACCCTGCTATCATACTGGTACACCCTGTCCAGCTCCTGCAACACAATATTGAAGCCGTTGTCATCATCGGGGGCCGTGTCCGCCAAGTGTTCGACTTGTTTCCACACCGGCCCGTTGAGCGACGTCAAGAGGTTGATCGTGGCCTCCGTCTTCTTATTCGCCAAAACCATCTTCTTGAAGTACAGCGTCACACGCTTTCTGTACTCCTTGTATGAGCTGGGCTGGCCGTCGAAGAGCGGGATGTAGTTATCGCGAACCACATCTGGATTCGACGTGGAGGAGGCTGACGTCGTAGGGGCATCCTTGCCCTTCCCAGAGCCACCCATGGCTCTAGAGGGCGCGGGGCCTTTGGAACGGCGGACCGCTCCGCTACCAACTTGAAGAACCCAAGTCGGTTCTACCTACAGCAAGCGAGGTCCGTAGGGTCGCAAAAGAAGAGGGGCTTCTTTTCTGGCCCCAGGCGTTGCCAATGCTCATGACTCGCGAGAGCCCTTCCCTTGAGGAGAAGCATTGCGGTCATCCGTAAGCTTGCGCCGTACAGCATAACAGGAAAAACTCATGTTTGTGGAGCGAACATCACAGTTTTAATAAGGAGGCCCAAAAACAGAAAGGGTAAAAGGGCACTCCTCAGGAGCCTGGTTGTGGTTTACGACCCTAAAACCCTAAACCCTAAAACCCTAAAACCCTAAAACTCTAAAACCCTAAAACCCTAAAACCCGGGTATACGGTACAGAACCTTCAAAGCTTTTCTGCCAGGGAGTCCTCAGGACCGGGAGCCTTTCGAGGCCTTGGGGAGGCAAGCCGGGTGTGGGAACCCTAAAATAGGGTTGGTGTAGGGCTTAGGGGGTTTAGGGGGTTTAGGGCGTTTAGGGGGTTTAGGGGTTTAGGGGGTTTAGGGTTTATGGTGTAGGGTGTAGGGTTTAGGGGGTTTACTTTAAGGGTCCTAAGACTTTTGGGAACCTGAAGATGTAGGAGAGACCCAGGGACTCTCCCTAGGAGATTCCGGACCCTCTGGACCCTTAGGGTAGGGGGTTTAGGGGGTTTAGGGTTTAGGGTAAAACTCAAGCATCCAGTGTCAGGCATTTAAACCATGAACTCCAAAAGCCTAAAACCTAAATCCTAAGGACCAACACACCTCAAATCCTGAAGCCCTAAAGCCAACATCCTAAGTTTAGAAACGGAAGCCCTGCATCCCGATTCGTCGAAAACTGGTTGGAACAATCCTAGACATCGGACCCGAAACCGAAGCTGCAAACCTGAGTTACAAACCCTAAGCGCTACTAGGAATAACGCAGAACATTGCCCTAACCTCACAGGATCTACTTCTGGGTAAGGCGTATAAGGTTCCAGCATCAATCCCTAAACGAACTCATTGAGGTCTAGGGACCCAACTGTAATTTTGTAGGCCCTGGCTTTGGTAGTTCAAGGTAGACACAAACTCAGGGCTTAGGCTTCAGGGAGCTCCAAAACTGGGTTTAGGGTTTAGGGCCTAAACCCTGAACCCTGAACCCTGAACCCTAAAACCCTAAACCCTAAACCCCGAACCCTAAGCCCTAAACCCTCAACCTTCAGTTTTAGGGTTTTGGGACTGAGGCTTCAGGGAGCCCAAAAACTGGGTTTAGGGTTTAGGGGCGTAGGGCTTAGAGTTTAGGGGCTTAGGCTTCAGGGAGCTCAAAAACCTGGGTTTAGGGTCTCTAGGGGCATAGGGTTCAGGGAGCTCACAAAAAGTAACACCCCGTGAAATCTGCGCCCTGAACCCCGGAGCTGTGCCGGGAAGCAGGAGCGGTGTGTAGCAGGACGATTCCTTTGTGAGATGAAGATTTCGTAAGTTAGGGTTCCCTAAACTCTAAGCCCCCTAAACCCCTAAACCCCTAAACCGATAAACCCTAAACTCCTAAACCCCTAAACCAATAAACCCTAAAAGCCCTAAAACCCTAGACCCTAAACCCTAAAGCCCTAAACCAATAAACCCTAAATTTCGAGTACCGGTGAGTTCAGTTCTAGGGTTGCTGCTGGGGCAGCGGGAATAGAGTACCCTACACAACTGCGGTTTGTGGTTTAGGGTTTAGGGGTTTAGGGGTTTAGGGGTTTAGGGTTTAGGGGTTTAGGGTTTAGGGTTTGGGGTTTAGGGTTTACTTATAGTCCATCAGTAAAGGGTCCCTCTTAAGAGAGCCATAAGTAGGCTTAGGAAGGGTCCCCTTTAAGGGGTCTCCTTCATACTACCTAGTACAGTAGGGTGTGTATGGCGTCTTGGGTCTGGGTAGTGTTTGTAAGGCTCCGTCTGGATATTGGTGCGTATAGTGTAGGGGCCTTAATAATTAGAAGAGGGATTGGGGGTATGTTATACTATAGTTCTCATAAGGAACCCCAAAATAGCATAGGTAATTATAAAGGGTCCCTATATTAAATTAAATACCATCCTAAACCCGAGTACCCAATTACTGGGTCCTTTGGACCCGTGGGGATACATAAGCTTTAGAATCCCAAGAAATCTTTGATAGTTGGTAGCTTCCTTAACATCGGTTAATCTGGAGCATCCAAAAATAGGGGAATTACGTTCTCAAGTGTTCAAGCTTCTACACAAGCTTCAGGGCTGCGACGAACTACGGTTGATGATAAAAGTCCTGCATTGCCCACAATGAGGAATAGACCCTAATTCCCATAGTTTAGGATCCTTAAGGTAATGTAACCCTAAACCCTAAACCCTAAACCCAAAACCCTAAACCGTGATCATCAACAGCATGAGGGCCTCAGGAGCTTATCGCAAAGGCAGCAACACACTTCAACCAGTGTCATTACCGAAGCTCTTGAAGCCCTCGCTCCAAGAAACTTCTGACGGTTTAGGGCTTAGGGTTTAGGGTTTAGGGGTTTAGGGTTTAGGGTTTAGGGGTTTAGGGTTTAGGGTTTAAACAAGCCTCCTATGAGGGTGTAAGGGGTGTTGTGTAGACTAGGTTTTGCAGAAGCTTCTCAAGGTGTCGGGGTTTAGGGTTTAGGGTTCGGAAAAGCTGGCACATGTCTGCAGGTTTACGTCGAGAGCTTGGTCGAGAACCAGGGCTGCTTTATGCTTACTGTAGGTTTGCGCGTAAAGCTTTATCGGAGTGGGGTCATTCGAGGGGTCTAGACCCTAAACCCTAAACCCGTGAAAAATCGAAACCCTTACGCACCAAAATCCGAATCCCTTTAACTGGCCCTAGAGCCTAAACCCTGAAACCCATTCAATTTTTTCTGTCCCCTAAACCCTAAACCCTAATGTAACTAATGTCCAAGGCACATCATAGATGGCTTCCAAGTCGAGAGGTGGAGGCTCCACGAACTTCTGGTCCAGTTTCAGCGCCTCGGCGGAAAGACTAAGAAGCCCTAAACCCTGAACTTGGGGGGTTTGGGTTCGGGGTTTAAGGGTTTAGGGGTTTTGGGTTTAGGGTTCAGGGTTGGGGGTTTAGGGTTCAGGGTTTAGGGGACCCTAAATCCTGAACATTACTATACTCTGTTTGGCTAGACTATACTACCACTACCGGGGTTTTGTAGAGGTGTTGGGTTTAAAGATGGCAGGGGCCTAGGCAGGGCTTCTAGGGTCAGAGTAATCGAACAGGCCTACCTTCTTAGGCCTCCTCATTATGGTTTGTAGATATCTTTCCAAAACAAGATTGGTCTTCGGGGGCATAAGTAGGGCCTAGGGCCAAACTCTAGTTAAGGGATTGGCTTTTACTTCAGGGTTTAGGCTTTCGCTTAGACTCAGGGTTTAGGCTTTGGCTTAGGCTTCCGAAATTAGGGTTTGGCTTGGGCTTTAGGGTTTAGGGTTTGGCTTGGGCTTCAGGGGTATTGGTGGGCTTAGGGTTCAGGGTTTAGACTTGGGCTTGGGGTTTAAGGATTTGGGCTTGGCTTGGGTTTGCGGCTGGGTTCAGGGTTCAGGGTTTAGGCATCGGATCGGGTTTAGGCTTAGGGTTTGGCTTGGGTTTATGGTTTAAGGCTTGGGTCGGGGTTCAGGGTCTCAGGTTTGGCTTAGGGTGTTGTGGACTCAAGGTCGAATTAGGGCTCAGAAATAGCTCGGGAGCCTGCCTGAAAGGTAAAAACTAAACCCTCCTTACAGCCTAAACCCACTTAAGCCTCGCCGAGCTGCGACAAAGACCTGCACCGCCGGGAGGACACGATCCGGACGGATGCAACGCACGATGATCAACTTCCTGGGAATCGTGAGGACTGGAGAGGGCTGCAAGTAGAAGCCATCAGTCCAAAAAACCGAGACCTCATGAAAACTATCCTCATGAACAGATTATAAGACGGAGTACAGCGAATACCTGCGTGAGTCATCCTCGGTCCTCTCTGTCAGTGTTCGTCATAGCGCGTGTAGCAGTCCAGATATACGGGGTTTTCGGAATGCACCATGCTACATTTTAGTGTTTAGGGGTAACCTGGTTTATCGAAGGTAACCAAAAATGCTACATTTTAGGGTGCGGGTGAGGATTCACCTGGAATCGATAAACGATTACCCCCACCCCTCCTACCAACCCAGTTCGGTGTGCAATATTGAGTGGGTAGTTCTCTAAACCAGGCTCCCTTTGGGGATACTTTTTATAAGGGTGTCGCACTATATTGGATCATAATCAAGTGCCCTATAGCTTAACGCATTTTCCTTCATTCAGGGCTATGTGGCCGCCTGGGAACAAATGCTCCTTCGCACGTCTTAGGATTAGGGGGGCCCTTGGGGATATTGACCCTCTCAGTAAGGTCCTTTTTAAGAGCTGTTAAGAAAGCCAGAAGTCGGGTTAAGAAGGGTCGCCTTTATGGGGTCTCCCTAATACTACCTAGTACAGCAGAGTGTGGATCGGGTCATGGGTCTGGGTAGTGCTTGTAGTCCATCTGGATATTGGTGTGCATATCCTCAGGGTCCATGTACCCAAACAGTAGATACTTTGGCCTTACAGTAGGCCCCATATATGTACTTTGGGGCCAAAGTATATACTACTTGGGTACATGGACAAGGGTAACCCTACACCCGAAACCCCAAACCCTAAAGCCTAGGGCCTGGGCGAAAGCCCTGAAGCCCTAGCTGAACCCTAAATTTTGGCCCTAGATCCCAAGAAAAAACCCTAGAACTCAACAACCTTTTGCAGAATCTCCCCCCTAAACCCTAAACACTAAACCTGAAGCTCCTACAAGGGGCCTTTAAACTAAGCTTTGTATTCAAGACAAAAAAACCTGAGCTCGAGGGTCCAGGCGCCCGAACAGAAGGGTTTTTTAAAGAACTTCCAGACTTTAAAGCTTGGGTTTAGGGGTTTAGGGGTTAGGGGATTAGGGGTTTAGGGGGGTTTAGGGGGGTTAGGGGGTT